GATTTCTGAATTAGAAATTGATGATAAAAGTCCTGAAGAAGAGAACGTGCTCAACTTAGTTAGAGAAGCTTAAAGGCTAAAATTAAATACATTCTTAAAAGTGTCATCTATGTTGTTCTAAAGCTTATATATTTGAAGTAATGCATATTTTTCAATTCAGACCAGAAATAGGGGATACTGGAAATATTTCTAACAAATAAGGATATGCCAGATTCCATTGGCACATAATGGAGTCCACAGAAAACTAAGCTTTAGCTTCTAAAAGTCATTATTATTGAGAGCTTTTACTCTTAAGTTATTGTTAATTGCCTACTAAAAATCAAAGCTATCATAGTTCTGACAACAATTTGTTTCATCCTTGTCATTTGTCATAATTTGGTTTAGAAGTAAAGTACAAGCTTGCGAAAAACATTTCCCAGTTGACTGTCTTTTATCTATCATATCTGCTTTGGTCATAATGTTGCTGGGGGGTTCTACAAAACATGTCATAATTGGCATCATTTTTACTGTATCACCCATTCGTTGAATGTTTAGCTAGTAACAAGATTTAATATTATCTTTAGGATGATGAGCTTGCAAACGCATGGTTGAACAATGAAGAAGTCAGGACAGCAATTCATGTTGCACAGGTGAGGTTTCTAGTAAGAATCCTGTTGCTTTGGATATGAAAACACTAAATTGTGATCTTTCTGATGAAACAGAAAAGTGTCGTCAGTAGTTGGGAAATATGCACAGACAGAATTTTATTTGATCATGATGCTGGGAGCATGATCAGCTACCACAAGAACTTAACTTCCAAAGGTTATAGAGCACTTATATTCAGGTAAATTTCCAGATAACACTTTTTTATATTTTTGGTAACTGAGAATATTCCATTGCTATAGATTTAGGCAATTCATTGTTCCAGTTGATCTTGTGAAAGAAAATTTAAGTGTTTCGTGTTTCTGGCAGTGGTGATCATGATATGTGTGTTCCATATACGGGGAGTGAGGCATGGACAAGATCTATTGGATACAAGATTGTTGATGAATGGAGGCCATGGTCTTCCAATGGTCAAGTTGCTGGGTATTTCCTTGTTCCATTTCTCTGTTGTCTTATCCCTACCTGATAAATCTTAAAATATTTGGAGTTAAATGGAAGAAAGAGCCTTTTTGAAACAAGCAACATTTTATCCTTTTAAAAATACAAGAATAAAAAACATGTTTAATCAAAAAAGTACAAAAGATCAAACTTCTTCTGATGGCTTATCTTGATTGGTTGCAGGTACACACAAGGATATGACAAAAATCTTACTTTTCTGACCATAAAGGTTTGTATATACATAGCATGATCAACTCATTATAATATGAAATTGCTAAGGTCCTATCATATAATAAATAGGACTGATTAAGACAGATGATGTCATGTGACATTTTTAACTATATACCTTAAATTATGTAATAACTTTGTTGTTGTTAATGTTTATAATGTTTGGTTACTTTTGGTGCAGGGATCTGGGCATACTGTTCCGGAATATAAACCACGAGAGGCATTGGACTTTTACAAACGCTTTCTCGCTGGATTGCCGATATGAGAGAGAAACAGAGGATGTACTTCACTAATAATAATTTGTGGATGTATGTTCACATATATTATATTTATCATCAATAATATTAAGCTTAGAATAAATGTTATATAGTATGCAGAAGTCTTTCTAATTTTTTAATAATGTGTGAATCATATTAAAAAAAAGCTTAAATGTTTATTTCGTTCTCATATTAAGAGGTGAATTTTTGTTTAGTATCCGGTTTTAAAAATGAAGACATTGGGTCCTTATGTTAGGAAAAATATATGAATAAGTTTCACAAAGAAAGAACAAGTTTAACAAATCATCAAAGAAAAAGCTGAACAAAAGATAGAAAAAGCTGGATAGCAGAAGAGAGAAGAGAAAAAGTACGGTCACATCAGCATGGACTTAACGCTGTTGCTGTTAACTTAACGGACAACACCTTATTCATACACTTTTCATAACATAGGGATTCAATGTCTTTATTTTTAAAACTGGGTACTAAACAAAAATCTACCTCTTAACATGAGAACGAAGTAAGCATTTAAGCCTAAAAAAATTATATAAGGATAGATCTTCTATGTACATCATATAGGAGTTACGGAAAAAAAAAAATTGAAGGTTGTTTGGGTGAAATTATTTGAGAGGATGATTTATTATATAGAAGTTTTAGAATAGTTTACAGTAGAACATTATTCAGATAAGAAGTTTTGAAAATTTAGGCATTAAAGAGTGCAATTTGGTTATTTAAAATGAGAATTTTAGTACTTAAAAGAAATAAAAATTTAAAAATTTTCATCTCAATCTGTTATTAATACATATGAATTTTAGTCTTTCATGACTAATGTTATTAGTTCTTTTGTCATTTCTCCAACCTCCACTTTGGGCTAAGCCCTCACGGATTTGCTTTTGGTATCGCTCCAAAAGGCCTTTTATTAAAGGATGTATCTTATGTGTATATAAACTCATGTGTATTTCATATTTTATCCGATGTGGGACTTTATTTGTACCCAACATCCTCCCTTCAAACAAAGGGTTATGGTTCTTCTACCTCCCATACGGCGGAAGTTTTTTTTTTCCCGGTCGCCAGACCAGAAGGCTTTGATACCAGATGTTGTGTTGGTTTAATATACACGCATATCCATATGTCACCCTATTAGTAAGATATTGTCCGCTTTGGGCTAAGCCCTCACAGATTTGCTTTTGGTAGTGTATCCACTAGGATATTAATGCGTTTACTAAAGCTTTTTCCTTTCATACATTCAGATTAAAAAAAGGTTTTTTCACAAGACAATTTTCTTTCAGCAAAATTATTTTTCACAAAGATAACACTTTATCATATGCTCATTTAATTTATTGTTGTTTATTAAACTTCAAAACATATGAGGACATTAGATGATCCAATATTATAGATCTTGTCTTAACAAGGGCTACTTAAAGGAAATATCACTTTTTCATTGCTTTCATTTCTTATCCCTTAAAGCTTCCTTCTTGAATGTACTGAGAGCCATTTTTAAGCTTTCTTGGAGATGTCTCTTAAAGTCAGTTTTTAGAACATTTGTGTTCTCCAAACCGAATTTTACTGTCTTTGGATTTCAATCAGAATATTCAGAATATTCAGAATATTCATGTTCATAATACATATGCATTAATTTACGAAATGAATAGATTTTGTGAAGATGAATGAGTTATTTGAAATCTGGAGACAAGAATTTTCGGTTTAAAGATAGAAATGTTATGGAAGCTTACTGTATGAGACATTTCCAAGAAAGCTTAAAAATTGTACTTTTTAATGTCGAATTGCTCCATTGACAACCCAGGTCTGTCATTCCTGTGTAATTCCTGCAACTATATAACATCTAAATGATTTGAGGATTTCAAACAGTTCCTTTATAGTCACATAACCTATGCATAAATGTGAAAAGTCTACGAGCAAGAAAAACATATATTTTGTGAACATGAAGGAGCTGTTTGAAATCTAGTGACTAGTTATTTAAAATCTAGATATGGTAATTTTCGATCTGTTGATTTCAATCACTCCTTCAAGGTTTACAAAACTTATACATAAATAAGATGAATCTACGAGTAATATTAAAAGTATAGATTTTGTGAATTGAAATTAAGAAATAAAAAATTAACGATTTCGAGGATACAAAAGTTTTGAAAGCTTTTTAGAAAAAAAAACTTTAGTGGATGAGATGTGTTTTTGATGAGATATTTATTTTGTTTTGGACGTCAGAATTAGCTATTCCGACATTATAACGTCCAAAAAAGTTGATTTATGCAACAATATAACGAAATGGTAACTCTAATGTTAATTGACATAAGATTTTTTTGTCTGACATTAATTGATTATATGACGTCTAAAGATGATTTTTTGCGATGTCTATATTGAACAATTATTTACAAAAATATCACCCATAATTTTAACGTTCACATTTTTTGTTTTTAACGTTGAAAGTTCAAACCTTTTTTTTTATATTAATGGTTGTATCTCTTAAATATTCATCTCAAAACACTTCATAACAAAATTTATTATCACTAAAGCGACAATCTTTAAAATCTTTTTGGAAATATTGTTTTCAGAAAATCATAAAGAAAACTTAAAGTTTAAAACTTTCCAAATAAAACTTCTAGTCTTGCGGCAGTGGAAATGGTACAAGTAGCTTTGCAACAAATAAATAAAGTTAATTTTTACTTTATTTTGATATATCTAATAATTTCATATCATTTAAAAGTTAAATCCAAAGTTAATTTAAATATAATTTTTTATAACCTTCCAGAGCATTTTTTTTTTAAATAAAACTAGGTGAAAACTCTGAATTCTGAAAAATAATGTTAGTTCGTTAGAGAAAGTTTCAAAATAAAAAAAAAATTGCAGAAAATTAAACACTGTTTAAAACTATTTTAACCCCCCAAATATATATATTTTTTAATTTCTAAAACTTTTTTTGGTAAGATTTAACTAGTGTAAAATTTTCATTTTAGTTCATTTAATATATTTTAAGCTTTTGTGTATGAGATTTTGTTTATTTTAAATTAGCCCTTTTGAAAATTGTTTGACGGGGACTAAAGCTAACTGTCTATATGCTGTAGGCAAAAAGAAATACTATTCATGGAAACTAGAATAAAATAGCAACGATCAAAAATATTTTTTTATAGGTAAGCATTTTAAGAAATGCTTTTTTACAATATTTTTCATAAAAAAAAATGAGAATAATGTTTAATTCGAATGTAACGAAATAAAACCAATGTTGCATGTAGTTACCATTGCCAACTCACACCGATACAATAATTTCTAGGAATCTAGTTGGTGCCATTTTCACAGTCACAAGAAAACCACATGGTAAGACAAAGGTAACGTATCAGATGCTATGTCACTGAAAAGAAGGCAAGTATTTAAGCAGAGATAAACTAGTATCATAAATTTGATTACCATAACTCATGCAGAAGCTATTATTGCAGATTTTTATGAGAAACAAAGAGTAAGAAACACCATCAAAGTAAGAAGGAAGTATGAGTATCAATGAAATGCCAAAAATGGCTTCAAGTAGTGTGCCCAAATGGCATTCTTCATCAGTCACAACCAAAATTGTCAATAACTTAAATCCTATATGCCAAGCTACCCAACAATTAACTCTCAAAGGGAAGTTCGTGATCATACACAACCAAAGCAAATCAATTCCTGGAAAGTTCATTTCTGTCCAGATTTACAGTGGAACTGATGTTGATCCTGGTAAGTGCACCTTCTATGCAGATAACATTGGTGCACGATTTTTTTTCAAAAGGAATAGTCTTTATGAAAAAGTTTTTGAAAATAAACAAATATTTCTCCAAAAATGATGAACCAATAGTGTTATTAGATATGGTTGGAGTAAATATCTCTGTAAGTTATAATTAATCTCTGCATGTGTTAAAAGTAAGATTATGCAGAAGTTAAAAGTCCTGCAGTACATAAGCTAATTATATTTTATGGAGAAACTGGTTTTATATTTCGTACTTTTCTCTTCTATAAGTGCTTATGAAAATATTTCTCTAAACATGTTCATAATTGATTAATTCTGAATATAACTTCAATCTCATAATCTATTATCTTTATAAAGTTATACTTCAGTCCTGGTAAATATTTTATTTCATTTCATCAATCTATTTATAAATATTTTGTTCTTTGTGAACATACCAGTAGTTAAAAGTGAATGAACTTTGACTTATATACATCAGTAAATTTCAAGAAATTATATTTTTTTTGCATGAAGATTAGTGTCTATGTGCATAATCAATAAAAAAATTGAGGAGAGAAGGTTGCATCCTGTGCTTTTCTAAATTCATCTCACCAGCTCTTGAAAATGAAGGAAAAACTGAGAAAAAGTTCATGATATTTAGAAAAGCAAAATGTATAAACAAATCATCTTGATATCTATGAAAAACATGAATACTAGATTATAACTTTTTACTTTAGAAAAGAAATTAAAAGTTGATGACAATTATAAGGGTGAAAAAAAAATTAACTGTTTTTCTTTTACTTGAACTTGTTTGAATTACATGGTTTACTATATTTGTAAGATATGTTTTGATATAGGGAACATATTATGTTTACAACTTTGTGTTGCACTGGACAGAGACTGGTAAAGGGAAATTGAGCGAGAAAGCACATTTCAAACAAGGTGAGAGCATGAAACACAGTCATGATGCACAAACCACGATATATAAAATTAAGATACATGTTGACTCAAATTTTGGAAGTCCAAGAGCTTTTGTTATTCAAAACAAGTACAAGAAGAAGTTCTTCCTTCAGTCTGCATCTATTGAGACTTCTAGCAACCGCATCATTCACTATGATATCAATTCATGGATATATCCAATAAAGAAGACCAAATCTGATAGGCTCTTCTTCTCAAATAGAGTATGTTTTATATTATTCTCTCATCAAGTTAATCATTTGGATCTTATAAGTGACACTACTTAGAATTAGTCCCTTTATGAAAATAAGACCTTGAGCTTTTATCCTTATATGTCCTTATCAGTGCATATAGGTACTGATATTACTAAGGGTGTGTTGATTTATATTTTAAATATTTTTGAAGTATTCAACATGTAACTAAACAAGGTTGCAAAACGTTGGTCAAAGGTGTTAGGCAAAGAGCAGGGTATGTAGTTGAGTTAGAGATTCAACAAGATGAAAACAAAACAATATGAGAAAACATTTCCCAATTGTTTCTGTTTTTTGGTTTCGGAACACTTTGCTAGGAACAATTTTCTAAACATAATAGATTTTGAATGAAATATTAAATGCTAAGTTGTGTGAAGTTGTTTCAGAAAACAGTTTTTATAACCAAAAGACAGTCAATTAGGCACCAGGGTATGTTTGGACAGGCTGGTCCATAAATAAGCACTCTTAAAAAAAGAAGGTGAAATAAGTTTCTCTGTATGCTAAAATTAGCTTATGCAAGCTCTCTCATATTTTCTTTAAATTCTTTTAACTTGTGCATAAGGTAATTTTAGAGTATGCAGAAGCTCATTTCATTTTTTTTCTTCTGGAAGTGCTTCAGGAGAAACTTGTCTGATTAGGTGCTAAGTCTCTAAAGTTTTAGTGTCCAAAAAAGAGTCATGTAGTGACTAAAAGATATTTTCATGCAGGAACTGATTCTGAAATGAGTGTCAGTTGTAGGACCAAATGATTAGTTTAATCTTGTTTCCTGCTAGTGGCAATTTTATGTTACATGAAAGTGCATAACTTTGTCGTTATGACAGTGTTATCTTCCAAGTCAAACGCCAAGAGCATTAGTGGAACTAAGAAAGGAAGAGCTTGATATATTGAGGGGTAATGGAATGGGAGAAAGAAAGGAATGGGATAGAATCTATGACTACGACTTCTATAACGATCTTGGTGATCCTGAAAAAGGTCCTGAACACCTTAGACCAGTTCTTGGGGGCACAAAGTTGTTTCCATATCCACGCAGAGGAAGAACAGGTCGAAAACAAAGTACAGCAGGTATTTATTTTACTTTCCTTTTAAATTCAGTTCAAGGTAGAAACCTAAATTGGCATGATCCATTGGAATTTCAGCTTAATAACATGCTTTAATACAGTTGGTTTAAGGTTGATTAAGACTAACAAGGTACAGTTGAATCAAGGGTGGATGGATGAACCATCATTCCTTTCTTACTTCGGAATGGCGATTGTGTGTATTAAAACTAAAATATAACTGAATGCAAATCTCACTTTATAAATTGGTTTTGTGAGATTAAGTTAGGTTTAAAGTCCTTCTCTTAATATTTACGTACTAGTTTTTACATTTCAAGTTTCATTACCTGCTTTGGTACTTCATGCCCTGCATTTGTGATTGGAGGACCTCAGCTGAAAATGAGCCTAAGTAAGAAAATAGTCCTTTGAAATTAAAGGGTATGTGTTAAATTGTGTCTCCAATATAAACTAGTAGCATTGAGTTGATTCTCATTTCAATTTTCACGTGTTTATGGAAAATTTTAGGTCCATCTAGTGAGAGCCGGCCACAACCAATGAACTTTGGCATATATGTTCCATCAGATGAGAGATTTGCCCCCAATAAATTGAAGGAGTTGAAATCAAATTGTGTGCATGCTATGGTACATTTTTTGTCACCAAAGGCAGAATTATTATCACACAGAAATTCTGCAAACTTTCAATCATTCGAAGAGTTACTTGAGATGTTTTCTAGCAATAGGAGCCAAATAATAGAGGGGTGGATGAAAGACAACTTAAAGAAACTGATACCTATTGCGTACTTGAAGGAAATAACTATTGCAAACAAGGAAAATCATGGACAATTGCCTATCCCTCAAATCATATTCGGTAAAGAAATCTTGATACCCTTTATTTGTATATAATATCTCAGTTAGCTGGTTACAATGTCAGTTGATTTAGGAGATCGGTTTGTATGGTAAATAAATCTTAGATTGAAAAGTAACATATCAGGAAATTTGTAACCTAGTTAAATTTCAAGAGTTCTCTCCTTACATTGAATTTGTCAAAGATACTACTAGTTATGCTAAGTTGTTTCATGAGATTGTTTTGTGTGCTCTTCAGAAAATGAATTGGCTTGGAAAGATGATATAGAGTTTGGAAGACAAATGCTTGCAGGAACTCACCCCACCAGAATACAATGCTTAACGGTACTTAATACACTTATGAACTAGGATTTACAACAATCTGCTATGTTTTATGATGTATAAGGGGTCTTAAGAGCGTAGTAGTCCAAGTTCTACAATTTGTTTGTGACTACCTTGGTTATGCTACAAGGTAATTGATGAATCCTGCAACAATCTCCCCAAACCAATTGTACTATTAAGAATCAAACTCTTTAATTATGACTCGACCGATTGGGAAACAAACTTGTGACCATGATTCTAATACCAATTGTTGAATCAAGCATTTACTAATAAGTTAAAAGTTATAGTTAATGGTCAAGTTTTACTTAAAGAAAATAACAACTAAAGTATCATGACTTGACCTACTTAGCATAGCATATGCCACAAAACAATTGATGGAAATAGATACGTAAAAGGAAAACATTGTTTCTTACTGTGGAAACATAAAATCTCTTTTAACTCAAATAGAAATTGAGTGTCGGTGAAAAGGTTTTTTACATTGTCACCTAATCATAGATTGTCATTTACTGTAAAGTTATTTGATGTTTAGAATATTTTGTCAAAAGTCATAGAATGATTTTCAATTGTTTTACTGTAGAAAATAGTAGTACAGCATTGGACAGCTTGCGCAGTTCATGTTCTAATTGAAACCACCTTTTTGTTGACTTTGCATCTTTTGAACCTTTTAATACTCTGTTGCAAATAATCTGTCACAGTTAAAGAATATTCTTTGGACCAAAGACAAACTTATTGAATCTAAATTGTAAAAACAAAATGGAAAATACTCTGAACTGTGTTTGTTCTCATGTTTAGACCAGCCAAAGTTGTCAAATCAAATTTGTAGACTGTATATAGTTTCCGAGAAATATAGAATGAATTTAAGTTCAGCTTTAGCATGTTGGTCACACTTTACCACTACATTAACTATGCCTTGGTAAAATTGTTAATTCTATATCTGTGTAATGAAAATGATATTCAAACTCACATTTTTGGCCTCATTATTGTTGGTTTCAATTTTCCTTTCAGACATTCCCACCTCAGAACAAATACGGAATACAGAGTTCAATAAAGAAATCAATCATAGAACAGAAGCTAGAAGGATGGACACTTTCTCAGGTAAGTAACCAAAGTCTTGAGGCTTTGGCATTGAGAAAATAAACCTTTTTTTGTTACTTCTTTTGGAAGATACTAATAAGGTTTTAGTCACAATTCTTATTTACTTTTGTTAACCTTTCATGAGCTAATAAATTAGAAAATTAAATTGCAATTTGTAAAACTTAAGCTCTTTTCAAACAATAAGTATCATACTTCAGATATTTGCCACAACAATCATTTGAAGTTTATGTCATATGAAGAGAAGACTTCCTTAACGAAACACAGTATCATTATGAGACATGACCCAAAATCTTAAAGTAATAAATTTAAGTTCTTTTACTCATTTTTACCCAACATGGGACTTCCAACTTATCTTGAATTTCTAACACAAATGATAAACATAGTATTATTCTACTCCATGCGATTCTAACAATCCTAACACGGCTTATAACTTTCTGCATGTTTGTTATATTAGAAGAAAACTTAGATTCTATTGCTCCTGTTAGTACTGTTAGTGTTGTTCTCCAATCACATTTGAAGCTTCACTTAGTACTATATGATTACATTTAATGGACTTATTTATTGCTCAGATTACCAAGATGAAACACCAAATCTAATCAGAGAATACTTGCAGTAGCTGTAGTACTGTATATAAGATTCGTTCATTATATTTATAGTAGTTAATGAAGCAAACAAATTTAAAACAACTTGGCTAAATTTTTATTGGATAAATTTAAGTGTTATTTATTTCCTGTCCTCTTTCCTTGCAAAATTGTGTAGGCAATGGAGCAGGGAAGAATTTTCATGCTGGATCACCATGACTACCTTATTCCATATTTGAACAGAATAAACGCAAATGGGGTATGTGCTTATGCATCAAGGACCCTTCTATTCTTAAGGACTGATGGCATGCTTAAGCCATTGGCAATAGAACTTAGCTTGCCAGGTCCAGCTCCTCACCTTGAACTCCATAGGGTTTTTCTTCCAGCCAAACAGGGAACACAAGCAGCACTTTGGCAGCTTGCTAAAGCTCATGTATTGGCTAATGATGCTGTTTATCATCAACTAATTAGCCATTGGTGAGTTGAGATCTTTCCGCAATCACAGTTACTAACTCAACTTTCACTCTGCATAGATTCTTGAAAGTAATCTGTTGCACACTAATTTCTGTACTTTTTTTTCTGCATCACCTCCTCAAAATGTCAAATCATGTGACAGAGATAGGAAAGAAAGGAAAAAGATTTTCTTTTTGATAGATTTATGATTAAGTTTGTAAAGAATATAAGTCAATAATCATGTTTTAAGAATCCTTGTTCTTTTCCAATAATGGTTTCTAGAATTCTTGTTGATTCTTTTACGCATAAGAACAATCCCTAGTGGCCAATGAATATTTCAAGTGTCTGAAATTAAATACCATGATCCTTTGTATATTGTGGAAACATTTGCCTTCAAATGCAAAAGAAATATTGTTTTATTTGAGAAAATAATGAACTACAAAGAAATTCAGTAGTACACTTATTCTGTTATCACCTTTGGTTTGGAATTTAAGTATCATGCAATGAAAACTTATATGCAGGTTATGCACCCATGCAGTTGTTGAACCATTTATCATTGCCACCAAAAGAAGGTTAAGTGTTATGCATCCAATCCATAGGTTGTTGAATCCTCATTTCAAAGGTACCATGCACATAAATGCCTTGGCAAGACTCATCGTTATAAACTCTGGAGGAATTCTCGAGAGAATATTATTTCCAGGTGAAATCTGTATGCAGATCTCATGTGACCTCTATAAAGAGTGGAGATTCATTGACCAAGGACTCCCAGCTGATCTACTCAAAAGGTACATTACAAACCCTCGTTAAGAATTGTTCATGAGCACACATCGACCCTATATAAGACCAAATTATGTTAAGAAATAGACTTTAAATCTAAATCAATTCTACAAAACCAACTTGTAAAGTGATGTTTTTATCTACTTGTTACTCTAAACTAACTTTATCATCAGTCGATGTAGGACTTACAACAAATTATAGTATATGAGTAGATGTAAATCTTGTCTTACAAGTTGGTTCTGTGAGTTTTGTAATTTTGTAGCAAGAATTTAGAAAAATTGTGAAACCTCTAATTGTGCAAAGAAAACAGCCATTTATGACTAAGCATCACCTACATCTAGCTTTTTTAACACAAGAAAACTTTAACCAATCTTGCATCAAGTATTTAAATGATAGTTAAAAAATATAAATTAACAACACTCACTGTACGAGACACTATTGTACAAATCAAACATTTTGTAAAATAAATACACAAGTTTTAGTCCTTATGTATCCTTATTAGTATACATTGGTCCATTTTGTTGCACTGTGTTTTCTAAGTCCTAGTCCCTAAAGTATATGTCCTTTCAGGAACTAAAACTTAAGTTTCTTATATAGAGGACTGACTCTTAAATGAGTATCACCAACAAAATCCAGATGACTCATTTAACCTAAAAGAGGCATAAAAATGTATAAAGAAGGTTAAACTATTCACTTGGTCCCTGTAGTTGTCTCATTGTCTCCAACATTTCTTGTAGCAGTTTTACATTGCCATTAAAGTTTTCTTCAGTGCTAAAAACTGGGGTGAAAACTCAACTTTTATGCATAATATAGAGGAACTAAAACTTACAGTTTTCTCATATACAGACTAGAACATAAAACTGGTGAATAGTTTAATCCGGGAGGGAAAATAAAAAGGTTCCATTACTTTCACCTTGATGCATGAGCTAATCCAACAGCAACTAATTTTGCAGGGGCATGGCTGTACAAGATCCAGACATGAATAACCCCACAGGGATTCAGCTTCTGCTGCTGGACTATCCCTATGCCACTGATGGACTTGAAATATGGGTAGCCATCAAAGAATGGGTCAAAGACTTTTGCTCATTCTTCTACAAAGACAACGAGGACATTGAGGGTGATGTTGAACTGCAAGCCTGGTGGTCAGAGATTAGAACTCAAGGCCATGGTGACAAACACAATGACACATGGTGGAACCAAATGACAACACTCTCAAACCTTGTGGAGACACTAACAATCCTCGTATGGATTGCTTCTGCCAAACATGCATCTCTAAACTATGGCCAATATGCATACAGTGGCTACCCTCCAAACCGCCCCACACTATGCAGGAAATTTGTTCCTCTAGAAGGGACAGTGGAGTTTGGTGAGTTCCTCAAGGACCCAGATAAGTTTTTCCTCAAGATGCTTCCTGACAGGTTTGAGATGAGTCTTGCAGTGGCATTGGTGAATGTTCTCTCAAGTCACACTTGTGATGAGGTCTACTTGGGGTGCCAACAATCACCAGGGTGGATAGACAATGAAGTGATTCAGAATAGGTTTGCTGAGTTCAAACAAGAACTAAAGGAGATTCAAGCAAGGATCATGCAAAGGAATAGGGATCCTAAGCTTAAGAATAGACGTGGCCCTGCGAACATTGAGTACACTCTTCTGTACCCTGATGCAGCTTCTTCTTCTGCCTCAAAAAGAGGAATCACAGGAAGGGGGATACCTAACAGTATATCAATTTGACATCTTGTTATAGATTACCAAGTTTTCATTGTTGATGGATAAAACTTATGTGTATTTCTTTAAACGTTTTTGCTGTTGTTATATCATTAGAATTGAAGTTTCATTTTGATAACTTACTAAGATCTTTAATTCAAACTTTAACTTTGGTTAAAACTCTAAATTTGATGGTAAGCAACACTAAAAACAATTCCGACTCTGCATCTAAGTTTTGTTTCTTGGTGATATACATCAATGCCACAGGTTAAGGAACTAGTGGGTAGCTTTAAAGTTGTTAGAAAACTGACTTGTTAGTTGCATATTTTTAGGAAGATTTCATATTTGTTTAAGTTTGAATTAGTGAATTTGATTCACCTAGAATTTAGTTATTTCCTATTTTTTAGCTAAGTCATTAGTAGAATCAGGAGATGTAACATCCAAAATACAGTAATAACCATAATTTAGAATTAATTACAATTAACAGTTAATCCATGCAGTTTTACACTAAAATTTTAAACTTCCAAAACCAAACGTAAATAAATACAGAAATAAATACCATACAGTAGTATTTCAACGTTTAAAGACGAACGGTTTTACACACATTAACCGAACGTCCAAAAAGCTAAATAGAAATACTAAAGGCTACAACTTAACGAGCGCTCTAGGGCTCAGCTTTAACCTCTACTTCGACGAGATTGGCATTCTCCAAATTTCCTTCTTCCAGCGTCTCTTCAAGCAGCGCCTCTCCGTCTGCTCACATCCACACGGATGATCATTGCATTTACAAGACGGACGTACATAATCAGTAGACAACACAAGGAAATGCAAGGGTAAGCTTAGGTAATTTAATTCATACAACATACATACACTTTAACTTATAAAATCAACTTGCAAGACATACAACAATACATCAGCATATAACAAATTATCTAAACTCTCATAAACACCGACCGTCCGGACTGTATGAATCCATGTATCTACAGGCGTTCGTGCACCCGGGTGGTGTAATAACTGGGATACGCTCAACAGCTGCCACCCGAGGTTAGCCCTATCAGTCCAAAGTACTCCTAAGGACTAGGACCTCCTGCCATTCCCACGCATGACCTGCTCCCCTCTACATGAGGACGAGCACTCACGGAATATCAGGATGAACAGCCATCAGTAGCTTTACCATGGTCATACTACACAACTTATCACAATTCCAATCATAGAGTCGTTCCTCCTTGGAACGCTCGTTCAAAAATCCATTTTCAATACTTCACTCAACATACTGTTCGCACATCTCAATCTTTCCTCTTATTCATATTTTCATTCTTTGTTCCACTTTCATAAAATGACGAGCGTTCATCCTTTTATAAATAAGGACGAACGTATTACAGTACGTAGAAATCCTCGTTTCTGAACAAAAGAAACAAACCATTGTCCGCTGACGGACGTTACGAACATTGAAATCATTTAAATACACTGATTCTAGAAGATCTGATTAATACTTAGAAAAATTTAAGTATAAAGACTTTAGGTTGGATCAAATGGATAGATACAGTACAAATTATTTAGATAAATAAACAATTTGGGATTTAATTCAGGAGACAATATCGCCAGTCAATGACCGAACGCCAACTAATAATTTGGACGAACGCTATTTACGTTCGTTCGGGAATCAAATGTGAGGACGAGCGTTCAGTATAAAACCGAACACTACTTAGGACGAACGCTAGGTAGATGACCGAGCACTAATTAGAACGAACGCTCGGTATAAGACCGAACACCGATTTGGACGATCGCTTAGTATATGACTAAGCGTTACTTATAACGAACGCTGGATATAAAACCGAGCGTTACTAATATCACTTCAATTAATTACGAATGTTGGGTACCACTAGGCTGTGCCGAACGCTCAAACCTAGCCTTTCACAAGAGGACGCTCGTTCTTAAGCAGAATCCTTTCCAAATGAAAGAACTCCTATTCTAAGTCATTTTCAGGGGAAAATCGAACGGTGGAAGACCGTTCGATGACGAGCGTGCATTATCAAAGTAAGGACTATTATATTTTTCAGATTTTTCATCTACAATAACTTCACATTTTTCATACGATTCTCATCTTATAACTTATCTCCACCGTAAATCTCCTACATTACAGAATTCATATTATCATCTCATACCTTACAGAAATTATCCATTTTCCTTTTCATACGTTTCATTCTCAACATACAGTTCATACAATATCACTCATACACAACCAGTACAACAGGGCTCGTTCATGCATACTTAAACATCATACATTTCATACATCCAGTACACTTCATGCTTTCACACACATCATACAAGTATCAATTAGATTACTAAAGCTTCCCTTACCTGGTTCAGCAGTGAACTTCCAAATACAAAGGATTTTTGACTCGTCCAACTATGGTTTTTCTATCCTCAACGTGCTTCTCAAGTGCTTCACTAAATCTAACCAAAAGAAACGTAGGAGAACTTAGCTCATACTCTAACATGCAGCTGTACCAGGGTTCGCATGCAACTCAGAAGAGGGTGTTTAGAGTTTGAGAACTTACCGGTCACAGAACTCTAAAGCGTTCGGTTCCAGTGAAAGCTCACGACGCCGTGAATGGTCCTACGGTTTCTGAAATGGGATCGGAGGAGATGGTGGTGAGTTATCGTAGAGAGAAGATGAAAGAGTTTTAGAGAGAAGGAGGAGAAAAATGCAAGGTTTGATTCAGAGGAAGAAGAAAGGTGCATGCAGGAATGGGGAGAAGGTTTTTCAGAAATCAGTTTCCTTCCCAATTCAAACGAACGCACTCTCCCCTTCCGACACCTGGCTTCCCATACTGAATTCAGAACCTTCCACCGCGACACTTGGCAAGGAGACAGAGAGAATGAAAGTGCGTTTTTAATGCACTGCAGAGGGGTTTTCGGGATTCATTACTGGACGTGACAGGTAATTATTAGGGTGCACTTTCCTGGGTCTCACAGGAGATGTTATCTCTTAATTAGTCTTTTCTGAATGGATTTAAATCAAGTTGTATTTAATAAGAAATAACACTTTCAGCCAATATATTCATTTGTTTTTCATCTCTAAACCAACAATTAGAATTTAGAGCTCTTTATTTCTTAACGGATGTGTAGAATGGAAGGAGAATGAAATTCGTTTCCAGTAACATTTCCCATCTTTAATGAGAAAGACCATGATATGTGGGCCACAAAAATGCATGGCCAAATCAAAATTTTTAAAGAATGAAAAAGAAAGAAGGAAAAGACAAAGTCGTCCTTGTTTTTTTGTGTCACAACATTGATCTTCACAAAAATTATGATCCCTAAGTTATCCAAAGAAATTTGGGAATTTTTGAAGGAAGAATACGAAGGAGACGATAGAATAAAAAGCATGCAAGTTTTTAACAATATCTTATATTTACCATATTTATTTATGCTTGGTTGCCATATATATTTGTATCATTCTTCATTATAAATATATTATCCTACGTGTGTTTTAAACATAAAGGACATTATTAATCCTAGTTTTACTATAGTCAATATGGTATCTAGAGCCTAAAGTTTTTTTTATAGTCAATATTTGAATTTTGAATTCATTGAGAGAGGATTATCTTAGTTCTTGCTATAGAACATTGGTTCTTATCAAGGATTGAGATTTTTGTGGTAAACCTTCATTGACTCATCCATCTGCTAGTCTAGGGTCTTATCTCATGGTGTTGGTATTGTTCATCTTTTTCCATCTTTAACCATTGATAATGTTCTTTATGTCCCTAGGTCCCCTTTAACTTATTATCCATTAGTCGTCTAACATGTTCTCTTGATTGTGTTATTTTTTTTACGAAAAATTTATTTGTTTAAAGGACCGGAGTTTGGAGAGAGATAATTGGCATCGGATATGAGTCTCATGACCTTTATCATCTCCACCCTCCTACACATGTTGGCACATTTATGGAGCCTCCATCTCTTCATCATGCTCGTTTAGGTCATCCCAGTCTTGTCAAATTTCAATAGCTTGTTCCTAGTTTGTCCAATTTATCTATTTTTTTGAGTTATGTCAATTAGGAAAACATAGTTGTAGTTTCTTTCCTCGTAGTGTTTCACAACCTGATACGTCATTGTTGTCACTTCTACAAAGCAATCAAATATACCAACAAGTACATTGGATAGTTTATAGTATAACAATTGTTGTATCCATAAGGATTTGGCAAAAAAACACAATGTTCTAACTAATTTGACCATGAATGAAACAATAAAATAATTTCTTAGAGTATAAAACAAAAATGATCTTGTGAAACAGAGAATTTTGATAGAAAAATGTGTTCTAAAACAGTTTGGAATTGAAAATGATTGACTTCTAGGTAGTAAAAATGTTGTGAAGCTCAACTACGTCACTTTGTCCCTCTCTTGTAAAGGTTAGGTCATTAATTATGAAGATGTAATTAATCATCTGTTGAGAGCTTTCTTTGAATGTAACTTTAGGTCCATTCTTGGCACATACAGTCTAACATCATGAAACTTCAGTAAGATTCCTCATTGATTGCTTGAATAGATCACCTACATTAAGATCAGGACTCTATAACTAGCTAAAGTCTTAGATATATTCCTACTATCTAAAAGCATAACGAGAATTGATTGGACCACGACTTGGAACCAATTCTCACTCAATCTCAAGCCAATTCACAAACATGCCATTAAAAGCATAATTTCATAAATAAAACAATACCAATTACAAGAGAGTTACAAAGGATTACATCTCACTTCAACACTTAGGAGATTTAGCTCCTCATAATAAATAAAAAGAATTTAATACAAAAAGAAGACATCATCTCCTAACCCTCTAATAATGTTCTTAAAGTACAAAAGAAGTGTTTGAGAAACTCTTTAAAGTCTCTCTCTAAAATTTGTCTAGAAGTCTCTTTAAAATAAAGGAGCAACTCTATTTTTATAAATTTTTCAAGGTGTGGCTTCAACGTTGATGTTGTACCTACAACCATAGAGGTTTCCTTTTAAGGTAGGTTTCCTCTATGGCTCAAGCCTCATGCTTTTGTGTTGTAGATCTTGAAATAACTTCTCTAAGAAGGAATTTTCGTGACTCAATCTCAAGTCTAGTGCTTAGGTTTCCTTTCAAAGTGGGTTCGCCAAAGTCAATTTTGTCCAAAATTGCTTAAAACTCCTCTATTTTCTTGATTTTTGTCCTTT